GGCAACATGGTGAGACCTGTCTCCATAAAAAAAAAATTAAAAACTAGCTGGGTGTGGTGGCACGTGCCTGTAGTCCCACCGACTTGGGAGACTGAGGTGGAAGGATTGTTTGAGTCCAGGAAAGGTAGAGGCGGCTGTGAGCTGTGATCGTCATTGAGCGGGCCATTGTACTCCAGCCTGGGAGACAGAGAAAAGCCCCCACTCTAAAACAAAGCAAAACAAAAAATGAAGGGTGCCTGGCACACAGCAGATGCTCCGTATGTACTTATTAAGAGCATAGATTTCTGCTGAAGAAGAGGCAGGAAGAAAAGTAACTGAGTGAAGCTACAAAGAGAAGAGATGCAGGTGGGGGGTTGGGGGCAGTCCACATTGCCAGGAGATGAGTGTTGTTTTCTGGAAATGGGAAGCACAGGTTGGGACTGAGGACACCGCTTCCCCGGGACGCGAAGAGGGGAGCACTTGCAGCAGAGCCAGCGTGCAGGACGGTGCACCTGGGTTCAGACATCTGCAGCACAGAGACAATGCATAGTGATGTCTAGCTCAGGCTGCAAACTGGTCCAAAGGCAGCAACCAGGGCTCAGGTGGGTCCTTCCACCTGGGGCAGGCAGTCACAGGGAGGCTGTGGGCGCAAAGATCTGGGCACAGGTCAATTGGCCTGCGGGGACAGAGGTCTGGGCACATGGACCTCGCCATGCAGGAGCCAACCTGCCAGGGAGGGCTTGACCAGGGGAAGGATCTTTCCAGGAGACAGGCCAGACTCAGGGAAACAAACATAGCCACGAGGCTCAGGCGAGGGAGGGGGTACCCGGGAAGGGCCAGCTCCTAGGATGGTCTTGAGGGAGCTGGTATTTAGCTTGAAAAGTCCCCGTCAGGCTCATTGTCAGGGAAGACAGACCAGCCAGCCAGGCTCCGAATGTCTCCTTTCACAACCAGAGCTATTTTAAGGCCTTCTCACTGTTTCTTCCTTCTTTCCACCAACACCCTTTGTGTGTCTACAAGTTGGAAGAGAGGGAGAGGTCAGACATGTGGGAGGACCAGCTGGATCCAGTCTCCTGTCCTGTGCCAAAAACCTCTCCCCTCCTGACTTGGCTTCCCTGAAACACGGGAAGGGTGGGGTTCACCCCTGCACCCCAAACATGCCTCCTGAGGCACCCTGGGGGTGACTCTGTTCGTCACTGATACCATTCCTGGGCCTGCTCTTCTGAGGTGGAGGAGATAGAAAATCTAGCTCCCGTGTCCCACGTGACATGACTGTGGCACAGGGAGGAGGGGCCTTTGCCTTTTGGAGAAACAGAATTCCCAGACACAGTGGAGGACAAATGAATAAGGAGCAAAGGACCCTTCTCCCAACTCCACCTCACTGAAAATCCTACTGCAGAAGGAGCTGGAAAGCTCAGTCACTCAGGGCACCTCCCTCCCCAAGACCACAGTGACTCACTCGGTAGACTGGGAACTTCCACATGCTGAGGGCGTCTGGGGAGCCTGCTGTCATGGCCTCTCGAGGGACAGCACAGCGGCAGTATGGAGGGTCCTGTGCCTGTTCTCTCTTGCCCTCACCTCCCGGGATCCGCCCTCTAGAAAAGCCTGCCCATGTGTGTAAGGAGGTGTGTCAACAAGGACCATGCCACGCAGACGGGAGAGAAGACACACAAAGCCGCCAGTAGGGGAACCTCCCCACAAAGGACAGGGCATCCCGAGAGCAGGATGCAAGGCAGCAGCAAGACACTTTCACGTGGCGCTCTGCACCAGTGTGGGAAAACCTCTAGGACTTGACTCCAAGAACCCAACCACGCTGCTCCAGGTTTCTCAGCATTTGATAGCACTTACATAAAATAACTCTACAGAACACACTTTGTGAGGACATGGGGAAGGGGAATGAGAGTCCAAGGCCACCTCACCCTCCCCTGCCACGTCTGACACGTTCCGAGCAGAATCTGGTGGTCCATGCCACGTGCAACAGAAACGTGGGTTCTAAAGGTGACCTCACCTCTGGGGTATCATCAAGCCTCATGAGGAAGGGCAAGAGGGGAGGAGGACAGGGATGCCCCATCCCACTTGTAGGCGAGAAGTCTGGGCCCCGGGAAGTGAGCTGCCGCGTAGCTGAGCCTACACCCGTGTGCTCCCTCCGTACTCTCAGAGTGACAGGACGCGCCTCTCTCTGGCCCTGCTCCGCTGCCCACTAGCTCTGCCTGGCGGTGGCCCTGTCCGAGGCAGGAGCTGCCTCAGCTTCACGACTGCTGGCACTGTCACTGCAGTGTCCCACATGACCTTGGGAGGCTGCCTCCCAGTTCTGGTTCACAGTCTCCCCCCAAAGCTCTGACCTGTGTGTGCTCTTTTACTGTGTAGCAGGTATTGTTCTGAGTCTCCTCAGACTCACTTACTCTCGTGCCGTCTCTGAAGCAGGTACTATCACTATCATCCCGATCTTATAGCTGGGAAAACCTAGGAATAGTGTGGTGAAGAAGGTGCCCATGTTACTCAGCTAGCAAGTGGCAAAGCTAAGTTTGAACTTGGTCCCTGGGCTACCCTGCCCCTCGCCAGTTCTTTTTTCCCGTGGGGTATCCAAGCAGCAGATGAGAGACTGGAAGGTTGGGAAGCTGACTCAGATGACCACCAACGCCTGGGGTCCAAGAACTTTACATCTTCACAATGGTCCTGAGCAGCCCAGACCCTCACCCCTCAGCCTCTCCCTCTGTCTCTCAGTCTCAGAAACAAAAGATAATTTTTTTTTGAGTTGGAGTCTCACTTTGTTGCCAGGCTGGAGTGTAGTGGCATGCTCATGGCCACCGCAGCCTCGACCTGCTGGGCTTTGGCGATCCTTCCTGCTCAGTCTTCCAAGTAGCTGGAACTGCAGGCGTGCACTACCACGCCCGGCTAATTTTTTATTTATTGTAGAGACAAGGTCTTGCCAAGTTGCCCAGGCTGGTCTCGAATCCACAGGCTCACCCAATCTACTTGCCTTGGCTCCCCAAGTGCTGGGATTACAGGCTGAGCCACTGAGCCCAGCTGATAGATAATTATTATGCCCCTACTGTGTGGCTGGCACCTTCACATGTGTGTTCTCATTCAACCTTTCCACAGTCCAGCAGTCCCTAGTAATGCTTCCATTTTAGAGATGGGGCAGCTGAGGCCCTGTGACCAGTGGTCACACTGCTGGAAGAGGAGATGCAGGGGGTCCCAGAGGAAAGTTTCACAGAGAGCTCGGTGACCATGGAACGCAACATCACTAGGTGGGGGACCCTCAGGCACACAAGAGTCCACACGGGTCCATCAGCCCTCTGAGTCACCCAGGGCTGGTACCCAGACCTGATACTCAGTTTCAGGGGACCCACTCTCTGATGATGAGTCGTTTTTGCTCTCTACGAACCCAGGGATGCCCAGAAAGGCCAAACCATCTCTAAATGGGAGCCACTAACTCGAGGCTTTCTTCCCTTCCCCCCAAAGCGTCAGTAAGCCCTTCCTGGAGGGTGGGGAATGCAGCAGTCAGAGAAGGCCTGCAGTGTCCACCAGATAGATAGTACTGGACTTGGAGCCGGCCAGGCCTGTGTGTGAGCCCTGATCCTTTCCTCCCTTAGCGGTGTGACCTCGGCCAGGCTGCTTCACCTCTCTGAACCTCTGGGTCCTCAACTGTAAGACAGTGATACAGGTGCCGACTTTGAGGTGCTGTGAGGAGCCAAAAAGACGCACATGTGGATGTGGACACCCTCAGGACAGGGCCCAGCAGATCACTCAGTACCTGCAGGAGAGGGGACGGCACACAGTGAGAAGGGAAGGGGTTGGGGAGCGTTTCAGAGCCACTGGGGAGAAGAGGAAGTGGAGGGAAAGGGGAGGCAGGAGGACGGGAGGAGCCAGGGGTGCCCCCTCTCCAGGGCGCCAGGAGCACTCAGTAGGTCGCTTTCTGAAAATACCATCTGGAGGGATAAGTGGGTTTTTCAAATGAATCAAGTGTGCGGAAACAAAATGACAAAAGACATCCCCATCCCGCAAATGCTCAGTGTCAGGTGCCTCTGCTGAGGGATTCTTTAATCAATGTGACAACCAGGGCTTGGAAGGGGAGCAGGATGGGGTTGACAGCCGCAGAGGAGGGAGCCTGTGGGGGTCAACAGGCGGGGGCACTCCCTGCCTCCCAGCCACCCCTCAGCAGGCTAAGAGCAGTCTGGAAGAAGGGATGGGGACATTCCAAGCTGGTCTCAACCTTCCTAGCCTTTTTCCCTGCATCGCTGGTGCCACTGGGGTCTATATCCCATTCCGTGATGTTGTCTGGGACCCCACCTATTGGTCATGCCCTGGGCAGGTTCTTCACCTCTGCTTGTTTCTGCAAACGTGAACCACAGGAAGCCATTCCAGACTCCTGTAAGAGGGGTGTGGAAGGACTGGGTCACTCTGGTGAACGTGTGAAGTCGGCTCACCACACACGCCCAGTGGAGAGCACATATCACCGTCATCTGCTTCGAGGCACGATGCCCGGCAAGGAGGTCTGGGTCCCCCTGGGACACAGGCCCCAACTCGCCGCAAGCCTCCAGGCAAACACCCTTCCCTCATCCTGTCCCCTCACAGCACTGCTTCAGGGCCAGGGAATCCATTTTCAGTTCACAAACCTCACTGACATCCTTTACTGCATCTCACTCTCATGACTCCCACTTCACAGATGGGGAAACTGAGGCCCAGGGATCTGAGGTCACTAGAAGTCAGATCTGTCTTGATTCAACTCAGGCAGCTCCACCCTACTTCCCCCTCAAAGGCTCTGGAGAGCCCTAACTTCCTCAAACCCCCGAGGATCCCAGCAGGAGCACCTGCCCTCATGTCACCGAGGCAGGACCCACAGGGGCTACACTTCTTAAAAGACCCAGAGTGATGCAGCCCTGGACCCAGCCAGAGTTGGCTGTCTGCAGATGGCTTCCTCTTCAGCCAGGGGAGGGGGCAGGCCCATCAAGGTCATCGCTTCGCCTTCGCATCTCTGATGCCCACATTCCGTGGCCCTTCCCTGGGGGTTGCCCTACCTTGTGGGTGAGGCTGGGGTCCTTCGAAGTGCTGTCCTCCTCCTCCGAGCTTTTCTGCTCTTCATCTGACGTGAGGTCCTCTTTGGGAGCCGCCACCGAGATGGGACAGACCTTGTAGGGCTCCGTGTAGGCACTGTGTCAGAGCAGGAGAGAGAAGGGTTAGAGCTTCTGGTTCGGGAGAGGCAAAGCAAACCGGTGAGGGGTCCTGCTGTGCCACGGGGATGGGAAGTGAGTAAGACCTGGCCACAAACCTCCTGCTTCCCCACCCTCCCAGCCGCACTGGCCTTTTGCAGCCCTGAACACGCCAGGCTCTTGGCTGCCTCGGTGCTCTGACCCACGCTAAGACAGACTCGTTTCTCTGTTAAATACAGGGCAGACTGCAATGCTGAAGGAAGGCCCCAGTGATTGACGAGGAGGGCATGAGATGTTCAGTCTGACTGGTCTGGGGTCTCGACTGGCTTGGTCAGGCAGCAAGGTCAGTCCGCAAGGGGGCTGTGTCCTCTGGGCCCGAGCAAGGGATGCAATAACAGAATCCAGATGTGTGTTCCAGCCTCCCGTCCCAGTCTAACCACTGGCTGGTTCAGGAGTGAGATGTAACTCGGGGCATCGATGTCCACCTCATGACTCCTGTCTCACCTTCTTGGCAGGTGCTGTGAGTACCATAGCTTCTACAGGTGTGTCAACCTCCTAGCTACACACCTGAGACTATCACGCAGGCACTGCCATTAACTAATTACGAACACATATTCAATACCCATTTGTGAATTCCATGCTTAACACCAGGTGTGGGCCTAGACAGCAGGTAAAACACTTGTGAATAAAGCAGATAAAGTCCCTGACCTCAAACATGAACAACTCATGGATAATCACAAATTGTGATTCCCACAGAGGAAGCTCTGACTCCATTGCAGCAGCCTCCTTGCCCTGCTCCCTGCCGTCCTCTCCACACAGCACCGTGATTGTTCTACAAAGAGATGGAGCTCCTCTCCTGCTCAGAGATCTTCCCATTGGTAAATGTGGCCCCAGACAGCTTCTCACAAAACTTCTCTTCATATTCAAAATCTGGTCTTACCACATTCTCATCAAATACTTATTCCTGTCCTCTGGGAATGCCAGGATGAAGTGCTGGAATGACAGATGGCTGGGGGGAGAGAAGAGAGCGTCCATTTCCTAGACGAGCTGGGCCAACTATGGCCCAGGCCTCATGCGGGCAGGAGGCACCAGCCTTGCCTCAGACCCCAGGTCGGGCAGGGGAAAGCGCGGCTCTGTGGGGCACATCGGGGGAGGAGAAACAGAGCCTCCGGCTGCAAACGAACTAGGGGCCTATCCCGGGGCTGCTTCTCAACCACCCACCACAGGAGCCCGAAGTGTGGATACCCGCCTCCAGAGCACCGAGCCCAAGCAGCAAGGGGCTCTGCCAAGAGCAGAACAAGGTCCCCTGGCCCACAAGGGCCACAGGGCCAGGCAGAGCAGAGATAAGGCAGCTTGTGATGGCAGGGCCTGTGCCTGCCTGGGCTTCCACTCACAAGAGGGGGCGTTGGTGGGGGCTGTGAGTATGTGGTCATGGGCAGAGACAAGCCCAGTCCTGCCCCTGGTGAGCCGTGACCCAGGCTACCACCAACAGGCCGCCCTTCCAGTAGACCTCCTTCCTTTTCAAGAAGCGACTCTGTCGGTCTTTTCTTTCAAACTAGGAGAACAACGACGTATTCTGCAACAGGACACACACCTGCCACCAAGATATATGAAAAAAGAGCCCTCCTCCAGCGTTGCTGAGGTGTGCTGCAGCCTCCTCCCCTCCATGACCACCCTACCCTCTGCTGCTCATCCCCACACTGCTGGTCCCAGCCTGAAGGTCAAGGAAAGCTCACTTGCTCAGCAGAGCTCAGCCCAGGTTCAGAACGCGACTGCATGGCCCAGTCTGGTTGAGCCCTGCTCCCTTCCCTCCAGAGCCACCTGCAGGGACTGACAATCCTCTGTCTGGCAGAGGCGGAGTGGGGCCTGCTGCCCCTTGGACAGGCCACATGAGGACCACACGAGGCCAAGGCAGCCGCCGTCATGCTCCGCCTGGGATAACCAACAATGGTGAGGGAGGGAGCAGTTAACTGCACCCCTGGGCCACCCCTTCTCCTCCCCAGGGAAAGGTAGGTGCATGCCAGGCCTTCCCTAGAAGGTGCTGGGAAGGAGGAAACGATTCCCAGCCAAGCCTCCCAGGCAGCAACCAGAGCCCCTCCTGGTTGCACCAAACTCCTTCCAAATCTACCTTCACACACCCCACAACTCCACTCGTGTCTCCAGCACAGCCTGTATGGTCCACGCCAGCTCTATGTAATTGGTACCTTCCTGTTCCTGATTCCGGCCTGGTTTTTCCCCAGTCTGTTCTCCACCTGGTGGCCAGAGTGAACATCTCACAACCCAATCTGATGGCGCCACCTCCTTGCTTAAAACTCTTCCAGGACATTCCAGTGTTGCCAGCCCAAATGGCACCGCCTGCCCAGCAAGGCTCTGCGTGACCTGGGGAGGTGGCCCCCACAGCTCCTGTTGCTGCATCTCCCCAGCATCTGATGATGCTAGGCATCATAGCAACTAGGGTTCTGCCTTGAGCCAAACAGGGGGTGGCTTCTGCAAAGCAGAGCCAAGGACGACATGTGGGGAGAGAGCTCATGGAAGGCAAAGCCCAGAGATGGGAAAGGGCTGGCTCCAGGTCACATGGCAAATCTGGGCCAATACGCTGACTCTGAAGGTGCCGCTCCCTGTGCTTGGTGCCATTTTATTTTTCCCTTTTTTTTTGAGTTGGGGTCTCACTCTGTCACCCAGGCTGGAGTGCCGTGGCATGATCATGACAATCATGGATTACCATAGCCTCAACCCCCTGGGCTTTGGCGATCTTTCCATCTCAGCAACCTGAGTAGCTGGGACCACAGGCACATGTCGCCACACTCCACTGATTTTTAAATTCTTTTGTAGAGACAAGGTCTTGCTATGTTGCCCAGACTGGTCTCCATCTTCTGGACTCAAGCAACCCGCCCACTGTGGCCTCCCAAAATGCCTGGATTACAGGCAGGAGTCACTGGGCCCACTGAAAGACGTGAAAACAGAGATACAGCCAGGTGCTGTTGCGGTGCACTGCTACGTGGAGTTGGGTCTTAGGCTGGGCTTTGTTGTCATTGTTATTTTATTTTTGAGAGTTGGGAGACTACAGAGATTAGCGCTAAGGCTCTTGGGTTAGCCTGCCTAGGTTCATATTCTGGCTGGGCCACTTGTTCACTGTGTTTACCCTCTCCAAACCTCATCAGGGCCTAATTCACAGAACGGTTGGGAGATTCAATGACTTGAATAATGGAAAACACTTAGAAGAGGGCCTGGACATGACGACTCAATAAACGTCAGTCTTCTTCACTATCAGCCCCTTATGTCCATGTCCCTTCCTGTCTCTGTGCTTCCCAAACCTGAGTCACCCCCCTACTGCCACCAACATGGCCCTTGTTGCCTACAGATATACTGTTATTTACCTAATGTTTTTATATATATATATATAAAATGTGTGTGTATGTGTATGTGTGTGTGTGTGTGTGTGTGTGTGTGTGTGTGTGTGTGTGTGTTTATATATATATATATATTTCTTTTTTTTTTTGAGTCCGTGTCTCATTCTGTTGCTCAGTTTGGAGTGCTCATGGCTCACCACAGCCTCAACCTTCTAGGCTCTGGGCTCAAGCAGTTCTCCCTCTTTGGCCTTCCAAAGTGCTAGGATTATAGGTGTAAGCCACCACACCTGGCCAAGTCAACTCATTTTTAATGCTTGCTACCTACTCTGGCCTCATCCTAAGTACTAATACCTGTGAGTTCACAGCGTGTATACTTTTAACACTTTATTTTTAAAGTTTATTATGATGATGATAGATTTAGAAATGGGGTCTCCCTCTGTCACCAGGCTGGAGTGCCGTGGCTATCCACAGATATGATCATGGCTCACGGCAGCCTTGGTCTCCTGAGGTCAAGCGATCCTCCAGCCTCAGCCTCTTGAGTAGCTGGGATTACAGGCACAAACCACCACACTTGGCTCCTCTTTTAACACTTTAAAATAAACTGTATAATCCTTAAACTATAACAACATGTTTTATTAAAATTATCTTGCTCACTATTGGAGATGCACAGACTTCACAGATAAACCTGGCTACTTCCGATCCACCCATGGTCTGTCCTCAAGTCAACTTCAGTTATGGTCAGAATGTAGCCCAAGCTGATGGCTCTATTTTTGTTCTACTTCTTTCTCTGATTTATGTTTTCCAGAAAGATCACTAAAACGTGTCAGAGGGCAAAGGTTCAGGTGCTCTGATGATATTTCTGGTTCACTTATTTCACTGTCCTATTTAGGGATGGCGGACAAGCAGATGGGAATAACCTGCCATTAAAATAAGCTTTCATTGTTGGTCAAAGGGTACAAAGTTTCAGATAGCCATGGAACAGGTTTGGCACTACTGTACAGGTGGGTGACTACAGTCAATAATATATTATATATTGAAAAATAACTAAGAGTAGTTTTCAAACGTCACACCACAAAAAATGATAGGCAAGCAAGGTGATAGATATGTTAGTTTGATTTATTCTTTTTTTTGAGTTGGAGTCTCACTCTGTCGCCCAGACTGGAGTGCAGTGGCCACTCCCGGCCACTGCAGCCTTAACCTGCTGGCACATTTTGCATGTGTGTATAAACGCCCCACTATACCCCATAAAAACCAATGATGATGTGTCAATGAAAATAACAGTAATAAAAATTTAAAGGTCTAAAAACGTTTTAAAAAGGCTGGATACAGTGGCTCACACCTGCAACCCCAGCATTTTGGGAGGCCAGGGTAGATCACTTGAGCCCAGGGGTTCAAGACCAGTCTGGGTAACAAAAAATAGAAAAATTAGTCAGGCGTGGTGGTGCATGCCGGTAGTCCTAGCTACTCAGGAGGCTGAAGCAGGAGTATTGCTTGAGCCCAGAAGTTGAAGACTTTGGTGAGCCATGATCATGCCACTGCACTCTATCCTGTGTGACAGAGTAAAACCCTGTTTCAAAAAAAAAAAAACAAGTTAAAAAATGTTTTCACAACATAAAAGAGCAAGTATGATCCAATGCCTTTGCAGAGTCGA